TCACCAAGTTGCACTGGCTGGTCTCAAACCCGTGGGCTCAGGCAATCCTCTCACCTCAGCCTCCCAAAGTACTGGGATTCTAGATGTGAGCCACCACGCCCGGCCCCAGTTTTTGTTTAGAAAAAAATTAAGCTGCTCCAGTCACACTCTGCAAGCTCCCTCCTCAGAGCAATAATAAACCAACACTGAATTGTTCACTCTAAAATGATGAATTGCATCACAATTTACTTTTTTAACCTTCTGAAAACATTTTTTTCTTTTTTTTGGAATTGGAGTCTCACACCATTGCCCAGGCTGGAGTGTAGTGGCACACTCACGGCCACCCCTGCATTGACCCGCTGGGCTTCAGCGATCCTTCCACCTCAGCCTTCCAAGTAGCTGGAACTACTACTGAAGCAGAAGGCATGCACTACCATGCCCAGTTAATTTTTTTTATTGTTGAGCTGCGGTCTCACCAAGTTGCCTGGGTTGGTCTTGAACCCACAGGTTCAGGCAATTCACTCGCCTCAGCCTCCCAAAGCTGGGATTACAGGCTGAACCACCAAGCCCAGCTAAACTTTATTTCAATTACCAATACATTGTGATTGTATTCCCAAGACTTTAAATAATATTTTTAGATTAGTTGTTATTTATTGACAAGGTATAGATTTATCATTTACAACATGTTTTGAAATATGTATACATTGTGGAATGGTTAAATCAAGCTGAATAACATATACATAACCTCACATATTTATTTAATTTTTTTTTGAGTTGGAATCTCACTCTGAACTACTACTTCTTCCTCAGTCTTCCAAGTAGCTGCAACTACAGGCACGTACCACCATGCCCGGATAATTTTTTGATTTATTGCAGAGATAAGGTCTCGCTAAGTTGCCCAGGCTGGTCTCAAACCTGCGGGCTCAAGCAATCCTCTCACCTCAGTCTCCCAAAGTGCTAGGATTACAGGCTTGAGCCACCATATCCGGCTTCACATACTTATTTCTTATGGCAAGAACAAATTTTGCCTCCATTAAAAAAACAAGCCGGGCTCGGTGGCTCAGCCTATAATCCCATGCCTTTGGGAGGTTGAGGTGAGTGGATTGCCCTGAGCCCACGGGTTCTGG